TTTTTTTTTTGATTGCAATTAAACTGGTAATTATTGATAATATTAAGAAATTATTTTATTATAGACCTGATCTTACTCAACTTGATAGAAATTTAAGAGAAAAAATTATAAGACCATTGAGTATCATGCTAATATATCAAACACTCAATAAAAAGAAAAAAGAAATTTTCTTTTTATCGAGTTTTTCGTATACCCGACGGTCTCAAAATTACTTTCTTAAGTATCTAATAATTTTTTATATGAAAGAAAAAGATTAATCAAATAAATAAAGAATCTATTCAATATAGAAAAAAAAACGAGACAAGACAAAAGAAACAAATTTTATTCTTTTTACTTGTCTTATCATGAAAGAGAAAAACAACAGCTTGAATATAAAACTTATTTTTTATTATTAAAAAAAATAGATATTTTACTATAAAACATAATAATGTTGTTCTTTTTTCAATTTTATGTTTTTTTTCTTTTCTTAACTCTTGAAAAATTTAGAAAATAAATATTCACAAAACTATTTTATGCAACTTAACATAACTTCTCAAACAGCAGTCAAACATCTAAATAATTTATACATTGTTAAAATATCGAATATTTATTTTTTAATAATGTTTTTCAATCGTTGAAAGAAAAAAACCCAGCACTTCAAACTGACTTCCAACATTAGAGTAAGGCTAATTTACAAAATACAAGAAGAGAAGAAAGTTTTTACGTATTTATTTATTGTGATGCTTTCCAAATGATAGGAAAACGTGGATGATCCATAGGAGCACCAGGTTTTATTTCTTGAGTAATATCCGAGAAGTCTGGTGATGTAATCCATGTTCTTGGTGAATGTTTTATATCATCACCTAAAAAACGAACAGAAAAAACTCGTCGACGACCTTTATTTGCCATTGTTCCTCGAGCACCATGTAGAGTAAGCATATGAAAAGCGATGACATCGCCTGGTTCAACAGACCATCCAATAATGGGAAATGCATCTCGATCAGCTTCAATATCAGGAATTTCTTCGAGTGTTCCTTCGGGAAACCATTTTGCTTCCGAATTCATGAATGTTCTTGGCATAAGCCAATGTCCTTCACGATGTGATCCAGCTATAAATTCAAGCGTTGAATAACGAGAAACTGGATCAACAGGTATCCAGAAACTACACGTTTGATTTCCTTCAATATTATAATAAGGTTGATCTTGATGCCATGGAGTGATTTGTTTTGTGTTTGCTTCTTTTACAAGTAAATGATCATGATAAAGTCGACTTATTGAACTTTTCATAAAAAGTCCTGCTACTGCAGCACATGGTGATTCATATATAAACTGTTTATAATAGGGATTTTTTTCCCATGTACAAAAATCTTCGACAAATCGACCTGTATCGTCAGGTAGACTAGCAATTTTGAAGCGCGGCGACGGATGTGCAAGGTTTTCATCGATACCTTGTCGAAGTAGATCGATCTCATTGTTGGTCAATAATTGACGAATACATACAGCTCCATTTTGTTTATATTCATTAATAAGAGAATCTGTAATTATTGAATGAGCTCGTTCATTCGATGTCATGTTATTCATTTTATATCAATATTAATAATCGATGTTATATATGAGGAAGCGATAAAAGAGATCTATTTTATATATGACTCTTTTATACTTTCATTTTTTTTCATTTATATCAACTGATAAAGAGACACTCATCGAATGAATATTTAAATCTTGTCAAATTTAAAAACAATATTTATTAAATTGCTTATATTAAAAAAAAAGATATTGGATATATATGCTGTCTTTATAACTTGGTGTTTTTTTTATGGAATCGTTATTTTTGAATACGGAACTTTTTTCATTTTAAATGACATCAGATAATTAAACGCATTTTAAAGTAAAATAGTCTTGAAGAAAAGAAGAACGAGTGAGATAAATTGTTTATCTTATCATTACTTGGTGATAACTTAATATATATTATAAGATATTTTGTATAATAAAATGTTGACTTCTACTAACAATCTATCATCGATACCTTAGGATCTTTTACCTTTGTTGACAGAGAACAAGGTTGTATTTTTTTATATACACTACTAAATATGTAATGAACTATTATTGAGTGAAAAAACGACAAAATTTAATATTTAATCATATTTATTTAGTGGACGTAATATAAATATATTATACAAGTTCAATAAAAATTTATCATGAAAAAAAGAACGTAATTTCTACTAGTAGTACAAATTTGCATGGTTGAATTAATTGCTTTACTTTTTTGTGCATTTAACATTCTTCTTATACAGTTACCTATTGTAAATTTGTAGCTGATACATTTGCCTTCAATTGATTCAAAGTGTTCCATTTTATTGTTATCAAATCTATATTTTATATTAAATTAAGTTTGATAATGAAATGCTTTGTATAATTGATGTCTTGAAATTAAATGACGGTCTCATATGTACTAGTATGAAATCATTAACCAAGCTTTGAGGAGAATAATTCGAATATAGAATAATGTGAAAGACTAAGCGACTTTGATCGGTTGTGCTTTCATTTATAAGGTTGTGCATACTGGCTGTGACTGTACTATTTTGAGTAAATATTGTAAAATCTTGAAAACAACTTCCAGTAATAACAAGAAATATATTGAAAAGGATAGTATCACTTTTGAACGCATTTACTTCGTTAAAACGTATTGGAACAATACAAGGAAAAGCATTAAGAGGTACTTCTGAAATAGAAAAACTTCGTTCATTAGTTTCTTTGTGAAGAAAATTATGAGCACTTCTGACAAATATAAATATTAGAAGAAAGTTCATGATAATCGTAGTATTACGTCAATCTTTTTTGTATTTCTTGTATAGTAAACAAAGCATTGCTGTTTACTTTTTTTTTTAACAAACACTAACATATAGTCTGTAAAAAGCAAGTCCCAATTGCTTTGATAAAAAGGATCCAATCTTCAAGCTATGTCGTATTATATTCTATCAGATATTTAGAGAATTCAACGACGAATGGAATGAAGAAAAGAGCAACAAAATATGATGGATCTTATAAAGAGAAATCCGAAAAATATTCAAATAGTGATTCCTTCCACCATAACCATTGTGAGTGTCTCAACAGCAAGCATGATAGAACTATTTTTAACAAGCAATTCCAAAGCGCTTTCAACGCAGAGTATGTATAGATATTTTTGATGTTTCGAAAACATGTTTTAGATAATGAAACATAAAGCGACATTTTCTAAAAAACTTTGCATTAGCCGTTATTTTTTTTTAATAATTTTTCAAAATGATAGAACTGTCTATATCAAACTGATCTATTTGCTGATCGAACCTTATTCATGTTTTTGTATTCCATGAAGGATATTAAAATTATTTATCGAGTTATATTTGATTCAATTCAAGAACAAACTTTCATATCGCATGTAATTGTCTCGCAATTTATTGCACCGAAAAAATAAATAAACGTTCGTACACCTCCAAATGTGTTTAATTATCTGAAAACTCTTATCATCACGTCCCAACGTACAATATCAAAATGATTGAATGCCATATATATATATTCTAAACACTTGATTTTCGTTCAGATTTGGTAATCAGCAAAGAAATCCATATGAAGATTATGTTCAAGTGATGACATAGTTGCAAAGCACTTCTCATTAACATTCGAGATAAATGTTTCACTTGTTCGTTAAATTCGAATGGTTTTTTTTCAATCACTATTGAAAACTAAAAAGAAGCAAGAGAGAAAGAGCTTTCAAGATGTACTTTTCATAACTGTGATTAATTAAAAATTTTATAAGAGTGATGTGATATGGAAACTTCTTGTTTTATTTGATAATAAAATAATTTCTCTTCAACTAAACAAAATTTAGAAAAGGCAAAGAATATATTAATAATTTAGGAAGAGCTTCAGAAGAATATAAATCATCAAAATAAGACAGAACTTCGATTCAACAACAATAGCAATGTTATTGGGATTAGTGGTTGTACCATCAGGAATAGGTTTCGATGTTGATGAGGTTGTAGATATTGGTGAGACTATAGATGTTGATGAAACTGTAGATGTTGATGAGGTTGTAGATGTTGATGAAACTGTAGATGTTGAAGTGCTCGGTGTTGTATCAACTTGATTGATAGTTGCTTGAATCCAATCATGATACATCGATAAACGGGTGTAGACACCCGGTTTAGATGGTTGAGCACAACCTGTACCAAAACTCACAATACCAACTTGTTCCCAATGATCACCTAACCATTGATGAATCGGACCACCACTATCACCTTTCAAATAGATATACAATTTGAGAAGTAGATTTTATTAGAAGACATTTTTATTTATTTACCTTGACATGAGTCTTTTCCACCACCATCAACCATAGCACAGAATTGTCGTTGTCTATCAAAAGCTGATTGACTACATCGTGAATCATCATTATCCAATACTGTCACACGAACTTGTTGTAATTCTCTAGGTAGAGAACCATTTTCAGCTAATGTACCCCATCCAATGACTGCTAAACGCTTGCCAACTTCTGGATAGTTGAGATCAGTTGACTGTGGTGGTAAACAAGTAATACCAACACTACTATCAGATGGTGTGAGATTGATTGGCGATGAAAGACGAATAAGAGCAATATCATTGATAAATTTTGGTGGAGGATCATACTCTGGATGTTCGATTACTTTGCTAACATTGCGAATCTGAGGTGAAGATAATAATCTATCATGAACACCGATATGAATTGTAGATCCTATAAGAAGTACACAATGAGCAGCGGTTAATACCCATTCATTATTAATAATAGATCCACCACAGCTGTGTCCACCAAATAATCGAATAGATACAATCCATGGCCAACTATGTGCTTGCGCTGCTTCACCACCAACAATACGTCCTTGATTATGAAGACGACTAGAAAAAGGAGGTTCATCATGAAAAATAACTGGTATAGATGAACATCCACATGTATAACTTGTATTGCACACAAATGAAGTTGGCCGACCTCAAATAAAACAAATAAATATACTAGTAGACAGAGCAAAACAAAAAGAAGATCTTTTCTATATTTCCTCCATACCAGTTGTTGTAGTAGTTTGAGTAGTTGTTGTTATTGGTCGAGGTGTTGATGGTGTTGATGGTGGATTATTTAATATAGTCAAGATCCAATTAGCAAAAGGTGCCACTCGTGTGAATAGGCCTTCTGTAGTACATACATTACGAAAACTTGTAATACCAACTAATTCATATTGTTGACTATCATTAGAATAAACCATCAAGGGTCCACCACTATCACCTAAATCGAAATTCTCTCATCGAAGAATGAACCGAAATGAATAGTTAATATGAAAAACAAAAAGAAAAAGAAACGACTCACGTACCTAAACATGTCCCTAGAAAGAAATTAAAAATTCGATTCGTATTTATCAAACAACAAACATAATTAAGAAAATATTTCTTACCAGGTGCACACAATTGTGTAGTTGAATTAATTGCTTTGTTTTTAGTACATTCAACATTTTCTTGTACAGTTATTTGTTGTAAGAATGTTGCTCCTACTGTTGGATTTGATGGATTCAAAATACCCCATCCTATTGTTACAAGATCCATGTTTTCGAGTGCTGTTAAATTTGATAATGAAATATTATTCAGATTTAATGCGTTCATATTGAAGGGGATTGAAACACGTACAAGTGCCAGATCATTGAAATAACTAGAAGCATTATAACTTGGATGTACAATAATATGAGAAACTGAACGAACTTGTTCCAAGGCCTCACTTCCATTAATAATATTATGTACACCAGCTTTAATTGAAAATAGATAGAAACCATTTGTGTGAGCACCAAAAAAGCAGCTAGCAGCAGTAAGTACAAATATTTCAGAGACAATCGAACCGCCACAAACGTTTAATATGCGATTTTGCTGTGAATTATAGAAACGTACTGAAACCATCCAAGGGAAAGCATCATCAGGTGCTTGTATGCCATTAAATATTCTTCCGGCGATTTGTTGTCCAACGAACTCATGAACAGTTAAGAGAAGAATGAAAATAATAGTGAGAAGTTTCATGTCGATGGCTCGTTTTACCATACAAAAAAAAATGACAGTGATATTGCTGTTAGAAGTAGTTTTTGTTCGACTAATAAATACTTATTTGAATTTTATCAGACTTACTGATCAAACTGAATTTTGTGGGGGAAGGGTTTTTTGATTGTGCTAGTTTTTATTTTTCTTTTTGCTATAGAAATACGAAGAAATCATTGGTATACATTTAATCGTCTTATACTTGAGTCGATCCCTTTTATAAATATAGAAAATTGATAAGAAAAGAATAATGCAACCCTCCTATATTACAAGATAAAACATTTCTAAAATCTTTTATATTAATCATAAATCTGCATTTTAGAGAAATGATCAATAAAAAGCTTTTCTTTCTTATATGTACGCTATTGATTTAAGATTATAAATTAATGTTTGTCGTAAATATATATTCTTAAGACTAATACCATTTATTATTCAAAAAAAAGAAAAACTAATAGTAATGTACTAATTTTATCGAAACTTATATAGAATATTGTGATAACTGTTGTCTAAATTCTTTCTTCATTTGCTTTATATCATGAAAACTTCAGAGAATTTATCTTGAACTTTGAAATATGTATTCATCTATTAGTTCGATAGTTAACGTAAAATAAGAACTCAGTTTTGTAAAGAATATTATTTATTGAAATATTCATCAGCTTGCATGTTTTCTCTAGACTTTAAACATGTTCATGCAAACCTGTTGGAACGTATCTTTTTTTTATAAGACTATTTTTTATTGTAACAGCAGCGAAAATGTTTTGTAATTGACAATATCAGCTAAGAAAGATTATCGAAAATGACAGAATTTACTTTTGCAGAAAAACTGCAAAAATAAATTCTATATAGACAATCTTTATGATGGAACCAACTGATATTGTGCAATTACGTTGGCACTATTACATAGTGATACATACAACACGACCATTGAATGTTTTTCGTTCTTCGTATAGTATACATTTAGGCTGTTTATAACTAGCAAACTATTGTTTTTACTATACGATGATATCATTATATATTCTTTTTCTTTTTATCTTCGATCTATACGACATAGATCGAAAACAACTTACAAGAGTAAATTCTGTCATTTTCGATAGTCTTTCTTAGCTGATACTGTCAATTACAAAATATTTTCGCTGCTGTTAAAATAAAAAAAGTTTTATATTTCAATATTAAGTCGTTCATTTACTTATATATATTGTATCTTTTTTTATTTACTAAAAATACAAACAAACAGTCCAAGAGTGCATTCTTCACGATAAATAAAAAAAATGAACTTTTTTTCCATTGCTTTATCTATATTAATTATTTTACCATATTTACATCATTCTATTGCATGTTGCTCAGTAACTTCTTTATGAAAAATTCTAAAAGATTTCGAAAAAGATATATCGTAGCCAGAACAGCAAAACTCAAAGTATAGTTGATATACAACAGATACTTCTTCTATTGATTTATACTTATTTCTTTTGTTAGATTATAATGAAGAATTTGAGTGTGTCAACTATATACTTCGACTGTTTTGGTACTGATGACGATAAATCGTTTTTGAAATCCTTTAGAATTTTTCTCAAAGAAATTATTCAAAAACATGCAATGGAGTGGTATAAATATTATAAAATAATTGATATGGATAAAGAAATTAAAATAGGTTTTCGCATTTGTTAACCTCGTAAAATGTGAATCTGATTAATCCATATGAGCATGATTGTGACCAGAGTAGAGATGTCAATGAAATTATATAGTTCGACGATGATTCTGGGATAGTTACTTAAATATATCCTTTTGTTAGTTTATTTCAAATAGTCACATTATCACCAAGAGCTATATGACTAGATATTTATAATTAACAATGGGCATCAGAATCTGAATTTTTCATAAGTAAAACTCAATGTTTCAGAGATGTATGCATATGTTTCATTGATCTCTATGAGCGCCAGCTATTAGATAAATGATTTTGAAAATTGTAAAAGAATCACTGACATATACTCAAAGGAGTTTTTTAATTTACAAATAGACAAAAAAAAGCAAAGATTTCTGTGGAAATATTCCATGATTTTATTGTTTTTTCGATTCGATTTCATTATAACATCATCAGTTCGTCAATTAGAAATTGGAGGCATAGAAGAGAAAAATAAAGTGGTAAATATTTTTAAAATGCATCAATTTGATTATTGAAAAAAAAAGAACATAGTAAACGATACAAAAAAGAAACAGAAAAGTAAACAATAAAAATGAAAGATTGATGTTATCGATTTTACTTGAAAATCCTGTTTGGAGAGAATGAAAGAATATATACGATTAATTGTATTGGTTGTCAAATGAATGGGTTCTATATATGTATTCGAATTTTTATTGAAAACAGAACATTTAATATTCTTTAAAGAATTGAAAGTATAATAAAAGTGATAATCTAACTATGAACCATTAGAAATTTTGTTAAAAACTATTAAAAACAAACTGTGTGACTAATCTTTACATGAAAAAAGATTTAACATAGTTGTTACCATAGTAACATCTTATCTATAACTTTTTCTATTTGTTCAAAAGATTCTTTTAATCAAGTCAAACATATTTTCATTCATCTGTGCTCGCCCTCTGTGTCACATAATTATTTCATTCTTTCGTTGTATTCAAATATATACTGTTGTGCCATAAACACAAAATTTATCTCCAGAGCAACCCTCTATTTAAAAGATATATTTTTGAGTATGATATTGCGAAATATTTGTCTATATGCTAGCAGATTTGTATTTCATAAAGAGGTATTTTTACTCAAATGCGGATCCAAATATTTCTTGAGCTTGTTCGTGACATCGCTCATTTTATAAAGACAGCGTATGGATGAATCTCCAATCAATTGATAGAAGATTTAAAAAGATAATGATAGTATTGACCTAAAGACCATCGTTGGGATTAAATGAAGAACTTGAGTCTAATCTCCGTATTCTTATTCTTAGCTAGGGCAATATTAGTAGATTGATAACATGTATATTAATTTAAAGGTTATTTGACTCTTGATTTAATAATTAAAATGAAAGCAGGAGCAGTGAAGATCCATCAATATGAAGAAATAAGGCAAGAATATTTCTAGATTAATCAAAGAAAACGAAAATTTTAGGATGATATTAATCAAAAGATCTTTATTTTAGTTGGATGCATAAAATATAATAATAGATTCGAAATGAAAATAACGAAAATACCAATACAATATTGACAGCCCAAGATACAATGATAAAAATTCACTTTTACTAAAATGTAAACTTTAATACATCTTATCGATCAATATAATTTT